GGTCAGGTGGGATGCGTTTTCGTGCATCCATCAGTTCGGTGGATGCGACTGAAATCCACGGCTTCATCCTAGCCTTATGGTTTACCTTGCTAGCAGATATCACTGCTGTTTCCACAGCCTTCTTTATATCATTCCAACCTGACTCCGGATGGGAATCACTTGCATGATCGCCCAACTGTTTTTCTAGTTTCTCCTGAAATATTTTCTTAGCTTGATTATCATCAAGTAAAGCCCTAAGAGGCTTCCTTACGCTGTCTTTCCTACGTCCAGCAAGCCTCAAACAAATACGTGCTCGCACTAGGGCATGATCTGAATCTAAACATGTGCCCCAGAACGAGCGACAGTCCTCTATCGAACCCCTCCATCGGTGGCTGATGGCGATATGATCTAGTTGTGTCCAACGTTGAGACGACTTCGGGGGTCGCCAGGTCAAAAGGTGTTTTTCCTTATGCTTAAAATTAGTGTTTGCTAGAAATAGTTGGTTATCTGAGCACAGTTGCAACAGACGGTCGCCATTGTCTGTTCTTTGAGCCGCGAGACCGTAACATCCACCTAGGTGTCTTTCATTTTCACTTAGTCTACCTACTTGTGCATTGAAGTCACCAGCCATTATAACTATATCAGAGCGCTTAACTTTTTGGAGGTCCGAAAGCTTTCTGTAAAACTCATCTTTTACATCATCTGGGCTGCAGTCAGTGGGGGCGTAGGCTGATATGACGAAGAGGCAACGACGAGTATCCCTATCTTTCCGAGTCCTTACTGTCCCGTTGAGTCGGACGGCGCACAAGCGACTATCTACAGGGATCCAGTCAAGGAGAGATTGTTCTGCCCTACGACTCAATGCTATACCTACACCGGCGAGGCCCCTAGAAGCAGCATCAGGGCTACCGGATACACGAAGGGTAAATCGAGTCGCTTCTTTATCTTGACATGGTGAGGTCAAATGAGTGATGCTACTCGGATCCTGTATGCGCGTTTCCGAGACGCAGCACACATCGATGGAACGAGATTCTAAAGTCCGAGCTAAGGAAGCCTGTTGCCCTATTTGACACAATGTCCGTACATTGAATGCTCCAACATGTAGTCTAGAGCGAGGTTTAAGGAGACCAGGAACGACCTTTCGCGAACTCGTGTCGTCTGCATTAGCTGTGCACTGTGATGAATGAATGTGAGAAGAGTTAGTCGTGGAGATAAGAGAGGTATTAGGGAATGTAGGAAGGATTTGATTTTGAACAATTTTGTCTCGTGTGCTGTTGCGGGTATGAGGGCGGTTATCACTTCCCGGCTGCCCACACCGTGGAAGGTTGTTTCTTGACGAACCTGAGAAGGAAGATGGATTAGTGTTGGTGCGTGACCGCAGAGCCCAAGGGACAACTGCTTGAGGCCGGTCACGCACGGCCTTTTTATGAAGTTACTTACTGAAATCATGAATCGATCAGTGACCTTTTCTGACTAGTGACTAACTCCGTGAGGAATCTGCTCCGAATTCTAGTTACAAGTCTTGACCAGTAGAGTTAAACCTTGTTCATGTGTAAACTGTAACTGACGAAGACAGTGTATGAAGTTGCAAGAGACCATGAATCGATCGAAGTTAGGCATTAACACCGTTAAATACCGCTTTAGTGGCCCAGAGGTTGGGCGTTCAAAAGAGAAACGAAGATCATGTGTTTGAGTCTTGTGAGGTGCAGGGGTCGTGGATGCGCACAGCCAATGAGACCCATAGTAGGAAGAAACTTCCATTCAGTGCTTCCACGATCCGCCAATCGTGGTCTATCATTGATCGATTCGTCGTTTCGATGAGTATATGTGTGACTAGGTTGTACAAATACGTTACATAATTTTGTTGAGTTTTGACCAGTTATTTCATTATCCAAAAAGTAATTATTTGAACACTTAATTCACCCTAATACTTTAATATTTACCATTAGTACTTTATCAAATGCTCTTCAATGTAGGTAGATTCTGGTAAGGATGGCCAGTATAGCAGCAGCCTGTGAATTAGTAGGTCTCAACATACACAAGAGATATGCTTATATACTCCGACACAACGCGACATGCACCAACCAAATCATACTTGATTGAGAAACGTTGGGAGATGTAGAAACTTATACATACCCGGTCATCCTCAGTGACAAAGTGTTACGTATGGCTAACCGCCGACTGCCGCGACGAGCTATGTTTTGCAGTGTGGGAGTAGATTGGAAGAAAGCTAGGGGTGGCCAAACCAAAACATGGCAAAAATCCATGAAGTCACTGACAAGTGGACTGAGTCATGTTGGTAGATTTAGGCTACCTGGTTGGGGTCCTCTAGACGAAAGTTACCAATGGTTAGAGAAATCAAACATGGCTCAGAATGCTTTACAATGGCGCAGGTGCATTCACTCCCAGATTCTAACCTTCTGAATTCCTCATGATCTCTATCTTTCTCCTTCTACATTTATCTCACTGAATTATACTTTTCGAATCATAACTTCGCTCCCTAATCTTCTCCATTACTGCTAATACTTCTATTATTGCTATCACTCTCGGATTTGAACTGACAGTTGCGTCTCAGTGCTGATGGGGCATGGCAACCTAAACTGATGTACATACGTACGAAGCTCTGCGTTCTATCTGTCTGTCTGTCAGTGACTAAAAGATGGATCCGAGGCATATGTGCAGTCATGGATTAGCGAAGCAAGAACAGCAGGCATTTTCAATACAAACTTCAAGACAGTACAACTGTTTTGGAGAGGAAACTTGGAGAACCATTAAAGCCATCATCCACAAGATACAGGTGGTCATTAACAGTTGTCAATGCGATATACTTCACGTCCGTTGACCAGGCACCATCAGCAACAACCTGCTTTTGGGTGAAAACAAACCAGACTCCGTTTGAGGATGAAACTGACACACAGCGCATGAGGTGAATAGGACAAGCATTGTAGAAAGCAGTCAATTGTGTCACGAGGCAAGACTGAAGAACAAATCTCGCTGAGAATTAGAAGCAGACGTGAAAACACTGAACTGGAACTATGTGGAACTAGAAAGGAATGTCTAGCACAGAGTTTGTTGAGGAATAGTGGACGGCGGTCTAAGTTCCATGAGGTGCAGCAGGCAAATGCAAGATTCATGCATTACTCAATAGTCTAAGATATATTTGAGAATAGTCACCGTGTATTACTGTAAATCAAAGAATATTTGATGTGCCATACTTAAGAGTGAACGACTATTTCTTAAAGATTAATAAACGACAATTATGAAGAATTTTGTACGCGTCTTAGCGTCATTTTAGCAAGTGAGTTTTCAACGGGTTAGGGTCGCTAACCCCACACCCAACTCTCCTCATTTATACAGATTAAGGACCGGCAATATCCCCAGAGTTGCTCCAAGCGGTGTTTGTGCAAACATTTCTGATTCTACTGTTAGTTTTATCTAACTTTACTCAAAATAGTTAACTAAATAATAATTCAATCAATTCGATGTTCAGCATCAACTATGGATATGACTGCGTTTCACTGGAATTATAGATAGATCATTATTAAACCACCATTAGAAATCTGAAAGAACTGAACAGCTAATTCGCCCTCGTATGGGACTCATCAGCAGTGAGCATCCACGACTCCAGCACTTTACAGGATCGATTAAACTAGGACAAACTTGGATGAAACGGTCATTCAGCGCTTCCACGTTTCTAATGAGGGTCTATCAATCATCAATTCATCATTTCTATAAAATATACATACAACTAGTACTTACCAATGTCAAGTGTCTTTCTAGCATTTATTCCATAACACAAATTACACAGCAATTGCATCTCTAAACTGCAAATAAGCATTTCTGATAATGGATGTTCAACAGTCTTCTACAATACAGCAACATTGGAAAAATTCTTGTGAAACAAAAATTGTGATGATTACTTGTATTAACCATCTTTGTGCTTCTGACAGACGTAGTGAATGATCACACATATATCGATGGAGTTTGTTTGCGATTTCGGTGCAATAATATTTAGTCGTTGATTTGTTAGGGATTATTAGTTCAGTCATTGTATGTAATGAGCACTGAATGTGTGTACTGTCAAAATGAATCTAATGAAAGAAAAGAATATTGATAATGAAGAAGATGTACTACAATGTGACATGAGAAATATTTGATCAGTGAATATTACTGATTTGTTTTTATTTAAAATACAGAACTATAAGTGCAAGCAGGCAAGCCCTAACTTGGAATCCTCAAGGTCAAAGGAAGACGGGAAGACGAGAAGAACACATCAAAACCAAGAATCGGAAGCACACATTAAGAGAATGAACAGAAATTTCATAGAACTAGAAAAGAAGTTTCAAGACAGAGTAGGTTGGAGGACGGTGGTCATCGACCTATGCTCCACGATGGGTAATAGGTGTAAGTACGTAAGTATTGGTACACACATTCATCAAAAAAAATATGTGTGCCACACAATGAAAATGAAGTTGTAAAGAGATAGGGAAAGAACGGAGAAATTCGTGTGTGAGAGTAAAACAACTACAATAATAATATTAGCAATAACAATATTTAAAAACACCGTTTGGTTTAGGAAAGTACAATCAGAAATAATCCTTTCTTTTGAAGAAGTTCCTCTTACTTTTGTAACGAAAATGAAATAGACTTATAGCAGGACCACCAACTGACTTCTATTCTAAGCCATGTGTGCAATGGTCTGAAGCCAGTGAGTTGCATCTGCTCTAGTATCCCAGCCATACCATACACCGACCACCTCTTTTTCCAACCGTTCCTAGCGTTGACTAGAATGAACAGCAATGAACAAAAATTGGAAAGGAGACTGGAAGACAAAGTTGGTTTGAGCATGTTGGTCGGTGCCCTATGTTCCAGCTGGGTAACAGACGCAATTAAATTAGCAATTTATTATACTAAAAATTTTCTAATGATTCTACTCAAGTTATTACATTCAAATCAAACTAAAAGACTTACTGTAATAGTTCTTGATACTGTATAAACTGATTAATTTTATTTCTGATAATTAAGTTAAAATTTACAATATTTAAATATTTATGCTTCGGTATATATTTGATCAGTATGTCTAGAATATTCAATAACGTAAATCATTTGTTATTTTTTCAAAAAAAAAGAGTTCATAACATTTCACACGGTTGGATAAACTAATAGATTTTATTGACGTTTAAAGTCAAGTTCAATTTTATTCATATCGTAATTGTTTTATTCAAGTCACGTATGAAGTTACTATAAAATAGAATGATTTGTATATGCACTGAATGAATTTATAAAACATGATGTCAGTTATCTTGTTTAAGTATTTTACATTGAAATCACGAATTGATCAATGTTAGACTACTAATGGAAACCTCGAAATTACTGATAACTGTTGGAATGACAAATATCTTGAGAATGGAAGTGTTACGTCCTTGCCCACTAATGCACTAATAAATTTACTGTGATCTAGTTAAAAGACATTTACATAATACGATTTCTATTTAACTTTGAGACCAGTAGAACACGAATCCGGTTGCAACTTGGGTAGTAGGTAGTTTAGCAAGCGACACAAAAAGAGAGTACACTGTGGGATTTAATTTGTCCTACAGACATACTACTAGAACCTTAAACGTGATACTGGTAAGCACAGTCTATGTGAAAGCTATTGTTATAACAAGGAGTTTACCTGCTTCTAAATGTAAAAACAATTTGATCAGCGCAATAATTAAAAGAATTACAGATATTAAGGAAAACGAACAAACAAACCGATCAATATGGTGTGTCCTTCTCGAATGAATAAAATTATGAGTCATATAAATTATAATAAGATAATAGTGTCTTCCAATTGGTGGGTCACATGCAATAGAGATAGTTTACAGACACATCAGACCAGATCAATGTGCAGAGGAGCTGAAACCACGATTTGATTGGTTTGTAATGACATAACTAACAAACACTATTCGACTTTCTCCTGATTCAATTCACGGGAAAAGGCACTTGAATATATATTTACTCTCAAGACCACAATGCAGGAATAATTAAGAAGGCACGATCAAAACCAAGCTAGATATTTCAGGTAGAAAAATAGTGTTTAGCGTTTACCTTGTATGTCACAATAATTGTAAAATGAAACAGTATGGCGGTAAATCATGTATCAATCGATAATTTGTTTGTTTGTCACTGTTTCTTCATTTCCCTTTACACACCAATAAATAAAAAATAATTACAATTATCAACATTAACTGAAATTGAAATCGATTTCAATGAAAATTCAATAAAAGATATTTTCATCACAGTGTTGTGGCGATTGTTGAGTTTCATTGAAATCACGAATCAATCATTGGTAGACCACCATTAGAAAACTGAAATCACTGAAAGGCCAGTTTGTCCGAGTATGGGACTGATCTATGGCAGAGTGCGTCCAAAACCCCCACTCGATCCATCTAACAATGATTGATTCATTATTTCAACTAAACAAAACAGCTAGCACAACTCTGTCATGAAAACCAAAAAATTTACCAGCTCCATGAAGAAATTCCTGGAGTTCAAACCAGTTGGGTGTAGGCAGTTACTTAACTGAGAAAATGGGTTAGAAACTTGGTTTGATTAAAGTTAGACATTAACATCAGTAAATGCTGACTCAGTGGTCTAGAGGTAAAGCATTAGCACGCGAGACCGAAGGTTCTGCATTCGCTCCACTCAATCAGAGTTGTGGATGCTCACTGCCACTGATGAGTTCCATACTAGGAAAAAACTGCCGTCCAGTGCTTCCTGATTTCTAGTAATGAACTAACAATGATCGACTCATTATTTAAATCAAGAATATTTTATATATTTATGCCACGACGTTTAAATTTATTACTTATTACCCAACTAAACTATAGAACAGTCTATTCAAAGATATTCTGTTGTGTAATGATTCATAATATATAATCACTGACAAAGTTCGTTTCCAACAGGTTAGCGAATGTGAAATTCATTGGACGATTACATCACAAAATCATTATGTTTGATGAAGATTAAAAATCATTCTTCACATAATAATAATGATAATAATAATAATAAACTATTTGTTTCTGTATCATGAAGACAACTTAAAGAAAGATTACAAACAAACTTATCGTCAATTCATAGTTATTGAATCATATGATAATAGAATATGTTATGATCAGCGGATCCTGAGATCTGAACACGACACGTGTTTTCTCCAAAAATGGCTACTTGAATGAGAAGGCAACGATAGAAAAGCAAGTCTGTTTGGCTATCGAATAATCTGTATACGAACGTATACTCGTCTATTCATATATATACTTGACTTATTTAGAAAAACGGGAAGCCATCTCTTGACAAATATTAATATGCATTCATCCTTTAGGATATTTTCTGAACGTCTATTCGATCCGCTCTTGCGTTCTTCAAATACGACAACTATACATAACAGTTAAAAAGCATTCACTGATTTTAAGAAGACAGGCATATTAATAGTGAAATTTATGATCGGTTGTTCAGCATAAGAAGTAGATAATGCTTGAGTGAATTCATATTAAAATGATAACTATTATTGACAATCAAGATTACGCAATAAGAAGAGTGTAAATAATGAGGTAGTGAAGAACGACTAATAAAAAAACAGGGTGTAAAAAAGTTTATAAAACCAATTATTAAGTCGAATCCGTAGCCTAAGGTTAAAGGTTCGGATATCTACAGCTTGAACTCTATAGGGGACCGATGTAGGTATTCAATGGACTTAGTTTGGTCTGGTCCATGGCCATTGACAATCAGATGTACCTGTTTAGGTGGATTTCAGAAGCATCGAGGGGCTCTTACGAAGCTGACGAGGTACCAGCCAATCACTTGATGATGTCTATTCAAACACATGTTCACTAATATTAATGAGTGTAGAACTTGTCAAACCATTCTAGTTGATTTTTCATTTTTTTACTGACTGGCAATAGACGAAACCGTGGTTTTAAGAAATAAATTGTCATGTTCTTCTGCGTCTGACCCATTAAATGGAACAATGATTTATCTTTTAACATGGTGAGCATATTTTACAAGCCATTAGATTCATTTAAGCGATTTCTAGAAAGTAAGCTCAGTAAAACAACAATAATTACTTCATTATAAATAAATAAGTATACTGAATGATGAGGCTAGTTAATGAACAAGAAGCCATGCATGCTTTGCGATAAAATGTTCTCCGTGAGTTAAACATTTAAAACACCTGCATTCTCCGAAACTTTTATGGTGACATATACCATTGTTTACTGTACAGTTAGTATTTGGGCCAAATAGTCATTAATTATCAGCTAGTTAATCAAGTCAATCAGATTATTTATTACAGAAAATGAAATTGTTTCAAAGTCACTGTTCAAATTTCAATATCTTCATGACAAGTTGATACGAGCGAATTGAATTATTCACCCATGTATTTTGATTTCATGAGGCAATTCATCTCAGACTTTTTGATATCAAAGCCAGAAAAATTGGAAAATAAATGCTAATGAACAGTGAATCTTATTTTAGGTTTTTAAAAAACGACAAGCACACTTTCTCCCTTCATGAGGAAATTAGATAGATTTGATGACTTTTGATAGATCATAACTGCTGCTTTTACATTTCTTTTGAATTGAATTCTCCTCAGTTAAGACATTTTTAAAATCTTCGTTTTACATCAGTATCAGTTTTCAACTGTACTTCTTTTGCGATTGGGTTGTTTTCAGTTTGTAGAATAAAGGTTTCACTCATGAAACAGTTTTTTGTATACTTTCCCAATAACAATATTCATACATAACATGCTGATCGATAAGTTCTAAGATGATACTTCAGGCGACTGAGTTACTTAACACAATTGAAAAACTTTCGACTAGTAAACAACCTGTATTACGGGGTTGTGAAGATTGTTAAGTTTTATTGAAATCATGAATCGATCAATGTTAGACCACCATTAGAAACCTGGAAGCACTGGACGGCCGTCCTGGTATGATGGGATTCCTCAACAGGTTTCAATAGTAAACAACCAGTTGTGGATAACACTTAGAGGCTAATAGATCTTGAA